AAAGCCTCCGGAAATGGAGGTGTGGGAACCTGCTGGGTATCACAAGAAGGTGGAAACCCACAAAGCTGTTTCCTGCTGACCTCTTTTTGCTGAATGAAACATTCTAAAGAGCTACTGGGTCACTGTCTCGGTTTCTCCGGTTAGGTATTTAGACAGGGTTCATCTGGTGACATTTCTATTCCATACGATGTCAACAGGAGCATCTGAGTGCCAGTTATCTGACAGCACCCATGCTAGCATGTCCAGTGCCTTGGTTACTCTGTCCAAGGCTCATAGCCAGAAGCCTCAGGGTCTGCTCTCCTCCCCCAGAACACACCAAAGGACCCACAGGGCCTGACCATTGGGCTGCCCAGTCCAGTACTCTGGCTCCCAGCTAGGTTAGCAGTCTGACCACCACAGTCACAAGGGGTCAGGAAGGACGCCCCAGCTTACTTCCCAATTGCTCCCCTAGGGGTTCACCAGAAGCCTCTGCCTGGTGGTCTCTACAGGCCACAACCATTTCGTCATCTGTTGTGGAATATTTGTTAACACTGTGAAAACGAGTCTTTGTCAAGGTGCCTTCTGATGGGTTTAATAAAGAGTGGAATGGCCAATAGCTAGGCGGGAAGAAGTTAGGCAGGACTCCTGGGGACAGAGAGGACTCTGGGAAAAGAAAGGTAGAGTCGTAAGCCAGACAAGCAGTAAAGGTAATTGAGCCACATAAAAGAACATAGATGAAAAGAAATGGGTTAATTTAAGTTATAAGAGCTAGTTAGAAACAAGCCTAAGCTATCAGCCAAGCTTTCATAATTCATAGTAAGTCTCCATGTCATTACTGCGGAGCCTACGGTCGCGATGAAAATCCACCTTCAGGGGTGTGGTAATGGCCTGCTCTTCCTCTTTGGGGCTTAGGACGGTGATGGGTCTGGGGTTTACACTCTCTCCATAACTCATATCCTTTTCCCTTCGACACGCTGTCTCCCCGCATGGCCCAGGCTGGCCTGAAACCTGCTGTCTTCCCGCTTCAGTCTCCAGAGCTCTGGGACCACAAGTGTGTGCCGCCACACCTAGCTCCCATGCATTTCTTAAATCCTTCTCGTGTCAGTCTAGTCAGAAGAGTCATTTGTTCCCTAGGTGACAGGACTAGCACCGTGAGGGCCTAGTTACAGTACAAATTGCCACTCTGAACTGCCTGCCTCCCAGCGTCTGGCCATTAGCTCTACCAGCACCCTCAACATCCTGTGAGGTAGGCCGTATTATTATCACAGCTGAGAGGACAGTGAGGCACAGAGAGGCAAAGTAACTAGCCCAAGATGACACAGCCACTAAGTGGCAAAGCCTGGCTTTGAACCCCAAAGCCCTTGGTCTTCTTATCCACTGTATCTATCAGTGCAAGGTTCGGGAGGCTGTTGAGAGACTGGACTATGAGGCCTTTGACTTTACTAATAGTCCCCCAAACTCCAGGAATCTTAGAGTTGGCCTCGCTTAAGGCCACTTTCCCCGCAAAGCTCTCCACCTGCCCATTTTCCTACTGAGGATCCAGCTATTTGGAACCTTGTACAGAGGGAAGAGAAGACCGAAGAGATCATGGAGGTGAGCACTACCCTAGGACCCAGAGATACAGATCAAGTTCTCATATTGGGAATGATACCTCATTCATAGATGACCTCAGTTTTTCTCCCCCATCAAGGAGAGAATGGAAGGTACCAGGTGGAGCTGCCACCATGCGGTGCCTAGAGTCTCCATGACCCTTCTAGAAGCCCTTCCAGGTGGGCTAGGTTTTCAGAAACAAAAAGAACACAGAGGTGTGCATTGGTTTTTCTGACAGAGTCCCTGGTTTGACACGCATGAGACTCTGGGCCTCCATGGTGGACGTCATTAGGACTGTGTGTGCATAGCTTTCCTCCATCTTGGCTTTCTTTACTAGTAGACTTTTCGACCATGGTGGCCCAGGCAGGCTTTGGCTATTCCAAGTTTGTATTTATCCTGGTTATAGAAGCTTGGCATGAGGGCAGACTGGAGTATTTCTGCCCTGTCAGCCAAAGTCCCAGAGAGGCATCTTATTGGCCCAGCTGAATTATATACACTTATCTATGAACCCAATCACAGGGACAGGTGTTTGGAGTTCTCTGATTGGCCAAATGTGCATCACATGTTTCCTGTAAAATGGAGGAGGAGGGGAGGAGAAGGGTGGCTTTTAAAGGAAACCTGGGTTCTGTTGCCACAGGGGTGATCTGCAAGGGGAGCTTACAGGTGCAAACCATGACCAGCCCTCACGCTGCCCTCAGGGTGCTGAGATACAAGACTGGGGTGGGGGAGGGTGGTGAGGACTAGGGAATGGAAAGGGAATCCAGGAAGAGGGTCAAGACAAACTGTATATTATCATTAACAGTGTCCACTCAGCCTTCGGGAATCTTAGCAGACCCATCTCCCCCCCCCCCCCACACACACACCAGTTAGTTATCAGCAAGAGTAATTCCAAGGTACATACCTGAGGAATTGTGGCTTCTCAGGGCAGGTGAGCAACTGACCTTCAGGAGACCTCTGTTGGGTCAGGAGGAAGGCCTGAGATTGTTCTGTGGGACCCAGGCTCTTAGGGGTTTGTCCGGAGTCAGAGCAGTGTCCCAGAAGGAAACCTATGGGACCTGAGTGAGCATGTAGGGCTTGTCTTATTAGCCTGAAGAACCTGGCCAGGTGTAACAGTATAGCATGGCCCAGCAACCTAGGTCCAAAGACACCGAAGAGTGGCCTGGCAGCTTATTTGAGGAGCAACAACCAAGATTCCTTCCTGAGGGGTGTGCTTTCTTCCTCGTCTCATTTGTGTTCACTCTGTTGCGGATGAAGAAAGAGACTCTGAGAAAGACGTACCCACTGCTGCCCAGATAGCCCTGGGGTTGGATCTGGACATGTGGCTGCCCTCTGTGCCGAGCTCCCAAGCAGGAAACTCCAGGAGTGTTAGGGTGATGGAAAAAACAAAACAAGGTGACTGTAGCCCAGGGAGGATTAGCCTTGGAGAAGAGATGCCCGCAGGTGACCTGAGAGAGGCTAGCAGCCGTCTGAAAACAAAGGGGAGAAGCAGTGTGGGCCGGAGTGACTGGGATGGCTTTCTGGAGACCACACTTTTTGTGTCTTTCAAAAAGAAAAACTAGTTTGATTGGGATGCAATTCACCCACTTCAAGTGTATAATTTGATGGTTTTCAGTATAGCCACAAAAGTTGTGCAACCGGCACCACAGTCAATTTAAAAACATTTTCATTTCACTGCCTCCAAAGAAATGCCACAGCCATTGCCAATTGCTCTCCACTCTCCTCTTCCCCCAGCCTCTAGCAACCACCAGTTTATTCTCTGTGTCTGTGAAATTGCCTATCCTGAACACTTCATACAATTGGAATGTGGCTTTAGTGACTGGCTTCTGTCACTTAGCATGTTTCCAAGAGTCATCCATGTGGAAGCATCATTTTGTTGGGGCCCTTTTGTTTTTGTGGCTGGATTATATTCCCTGATAGACTGTCACTTATCAGGTGTACTCTTTCGTCGTTTGATGAATGCTTGATTGCCCCCACATACTGGCTCCTGTGAATAGCTTGTCTTTTTTTTTCTGTGCTGGGGATTGAACATAGGGCCTCACATCCACATGCTAGGCAAGCATTCTTCTACCAGGCACCTGCCCCAGCCCGGGACAATATGAATAGGGCTGATATGAACAGTCATATACAACGTTTTCGCTGAACACACTGTGATGGATAGCTTTGTCACCTTGACACAACCAAGAATCACCGAGAAGAGATTCTCAATAAGGAACTGTCAACATGAGTTTGGCCTGTGAGCACGCTGGTGAGGGATCATCTTAAGTTATTGCTGTGGGAACACTCAGCCTGCTGTGAGCAGCACCACTCCCCGGACAGGGTGTCCTGAGCTATATATGAGTGGAGACACTGAGCTGAGCACTAGCAGGGAAGGGCAAGCAGGAACGCATTCATTTCTCTAAGCTTTTGACTGTGGATGTCCTGTGACCGGCTGTCTGCCATCCCTGCCTTGACTTCCCCACAACGATGAATTGTAACCTGGCATTCAAAGCTGAAATAACCCCCTTTGGATGTACAGTTGAGGGTAGGATCTCTGGCTACAGGGTAACCTTTTTGAAGAACTGCCAAGTCTGCTTCCCAAAATAAATGCCACATTTCCATTCCCAGCAGGACGCTCTTAACTGTGCCTTTATCATTTTATCCACGGGCTGATTGGGGGGAAATGACTAGGGAGAAGTGGTGGTAAGGGGTGTGTGGACACTAGTAACAAGGTAGGGTGATGCCTCTGCTAACAAGTAAGCAAGGACGTGGATGGATGTTGGGTTACTCCTATAATGCACAAGAGCTCATTTCACCTGTCCCCGGTTGTCTAAATAGTGCCCGGGGTGAGAATGAATCAGACAAGGTGATATTTTGAGGTCTGTTGTTACCGGGTCTCACGGGCTTGGCAGGCTTGGAGAAACTTTTGAGTGTTTGGGCACTTAAAGGAGAGGCCTCAGCCTCGTGGTTGTTGAAAACACAAACAGGTTTTCTCTCTCTGCCTTCATCTGGGTGTGGTGCCTAGAGTAGCGCAGGTGCGCTAGATATCAGGCTTGCCGGACGCTATCTGCTCTGTTAAATACTGAGTTTATAAACAGAGAAGGCAGCAAAGGGAGACACGGTCACCTGTCAGGGATGTGGAGGAGGTGCCCTGCCTCGGGAGCTGAGGATGGGCTGCGGCTTCTTCTGAGATGGAAGAGTTCCCAGTCGGGCCCTGGGCCTTGTCACCTGCTGGCGCTGAGAGCCTCGCTATCCAGTGCCAACTCGGACACTTTCCTGGAAGTTTCCCTCGCAGGCTCCCCGCGGGCTGCAGCTACAGCCAGCGCAGCCCTAGACCCCGGCACCGCCCGCCGCCAGGCCCGGCCCCAGGGGCGCGGCCCGGCTTCCGCGCTCCCCAGGGGGCTCCGGGCTGCAAGCAGCCGCCGCCGAATGGCTTCTGACAAAAAGCCCTTGACCACCAGGGCCGGCCTCTTCCTGCGAGCCCCGCGCGCTGCAATCCAGGAAGTGGAAGCCAGCGGCCCCGCGCTTCCCCACTGGGCGCGCGGCTGGCGGCGGCGCCTGGCCCGGCCCTCGGCGAGGGACAGCGCCAGCGCCACGCGGAGGTCGCCGCGCCTCTGAGCCCCGCGGAGCCGCGTCCCCAACTGCGGACCCCAGGATGAGACGCTCCGAGGTGACCCCGAGCACCCACCCCTCCGGGTAAGTGGCAGCCGGCGCCCGCCTCTCCCCAGGTGACTCGTGCCCTACACCTTTGCTCTGCTTGGTCCGCAAGAGTCCCGGGTGCTCAGGCGGGATCCCGGGCTGCGGACATCTTGGGTGCCGTGCTGCGATGGGACCCCTACCCCCACCCTCGGCGCCCCAGCAGGGACCTGGGTTCTACAGGGAAAGGGGGCGGCCCTAGTGACTGCAGCACTTGGCCAAACTTTCAAACTCAGACTTTGTTAACTTGAAAGCAGCGCACATTTCCCCGCGGCTGGGCGGGTTTGGTTAGAGTCTATTTGTATTTGTACTTGTTCGAGCCCGGTGTGTCTGTGTAGACATGGCTCCTGCCTGGCTGAACTTTGGATGCAAGCAGTCGTTGTCCCGACCCAGCCAACCCCGCGCACCCCAATGACCGCTGCTCCTCATGAGCCCCGGCTTGCGCTCTGAGGCCCTGAGGCCAGGAGGAGAGTAGGGTGGTAGATCAAAAGCACCTACAACTTCAGGCAGCCCTACCAGGCAGCTGATCCTCTGCCCCATTGAGGCGCCACCAGGATCCCCTCTGCTAGCCCGCTGGATCAGTTGGGGACAGTGACCTTTGGACTGCCCTCTGCATCTGTAAAACCTGGTGTGTGAGGAGGGTTTAGGGTGTTTATGGCTGGCGGGGTCTCAGGGCACAGATTTATCTTGAAGTGGGTGACTGCCATTCGAACTGGATTCCTACTTTGGTGCTCTTCCTTACCCACCCCCATCCCCCACCTCGAGGATGTCCTGTCATCCAGCCCACTCCTGAGAGTAGCTCGGGGAGGGTCAGGTTCGAAGCAACAACGAGTAGGAAATGATTTCTGTGAAAGCTCCAGGGCTTTCTAAGGTGCCAGGGCAGATGGATGCATCTGGGGTGCCACACTTTGTATTTCCTTTTAAAAGTCCCGGGCCTGGCCTCTGGTGGACTCCTGTGGCTGGCTGGCTGTTTTAAGTCAGTGACCTCATCTCTTGTGACCTCATCTCCCAGGACCTTGGGTCTCCACACTGTAGAATAGGAATGCTGAGCCGATCTTGTGCGGTCCTGTCCCGGGCTGGGGGTGGGGGAGAGTAGGATGTTACTGGCCCTCACTAGGGTAGGAGGGACTGGCCTCTCAAGCCTTGTAGATGTGGCTGCCTCCCAATCCCAGCTACAGCCACAGCCCGGAAATTCTGTGTTGATGCTTCCCTCGGAAGTGATCTCTGCAGAGACAAATGTCATCCGCTGGGGAACTGGGAATTCCGATGGGGAAGAGGTCTCCAGGCAGCAAGTGTGCTGGTCAGGAAGGTAAAGCCGGCTAGAAAAGGAGGGTGAGGAACGAGGCTGCGACCTCACCCACTTCCATTTTCCCCAAGGATGCCCTGGCCTGACCCATTTCCTCTTTGCTTCCCTCCTTGCTGTGCCTGTACCAGTGATCTAATCAGAGCCTCAGTTTACCTACAAGGATAGCCAACAGCCTCTACTCTTTACAGTTTCCGAGGGTTAAATTAGTGGGAAGCGTTCTGCAGCTTGGCAGAGAGTCGACACCCTCATGTTATTATGACCATTGTCATTGTCATCTGTTGGTTGGGATCTTTCATTTTGCCGACTGGGTGATTGGGACAAAGTGATCTGACTTCCACTTCTGGAAATCCTGAGTCCTATAACCCCTCCTTCACTGGATTGGATTGTGTGTATGTGTGTGTGTGTGTGTGTGTGTGTGTGTGTGTGTGGTGGGGGTTGGGGTATGTGTTGGTATGTGTGAACCTGGATGCTCATGTGTGTGTAGAGGCCAGGCACTGATGTCATATGTCTTTTTTAGTCACTCTTGGCCTCAGGTTTTTCTGGTTTTTTTGACACGGTCTCTCACTGGACCGCAATGATTCAGCTTGACTGCGGGCCAGCGAGCTACAGAGCTTCACCTGATTTGACACAAGCTCTGGAGAAGCAGACTCAGGTGGTCCTCATGCCCTACCACAGCAAGCAGTTCACTGACTGAGCCATCGCCCCAGCACCTAGATGGGTTTTTTGTTTGGTTTTGTTTTATTGTTTTTCAAGACCGGGTTTCTCTGTGTAGCTTTGGAGCCTGTCTTGGAACCTGCTCTGTAAACCAGGCTGGCCTGGAACTCGAAGAGATCTGCCTGCCTCTGCCTCCTGAGTGCTGGGATTAAAGGCGTGCACCACCACCGCCCTGCCAGATAAATCTGTCTATAGGCAGTACAGGGGTTAGGCCACTGCTGATTGCCTGGGACAGTGCCTGGTATATACTAGGCACTCTGAGTAGAAGTTTGCTGCTGAAAATGCTTGACATTTTAGAGGCCCTTTACATGGGATGGATTCCTAGGTGCTGTGTGTCAATCCTTGTACCTAGGGCAGGGACCTCAGGGCAACATTTTTTAGATGACCTTTCATACCCCCAGTGGCAGAGGGGTTACCATGAATGGCCACCCTCTGCATACAGAAACCCAAGTGAGCCCCTGACATCTGCTTCTAATGGCCCTGGTCCTTGCTCATTGGCTGGTCCCTCTCAAGTACTAGGGGACCAACATGCCCTGCACCTGAGCTACACATCTAAAAACTCAGACTTTCACAACACCCCCCCCCCCAAGGCACCCCTAGACCCTGCTGCCAGCAGGACTGGTCCTGAAAGGTTTTTGAGTCTGCCTTTGCACACTACTGGCCCAGAGCTCACGCCTTTCTGGGGTAGGAGGTATTCAGATAGCTGGGGAATGCTACCTGCAAGCAGCCAGAATAGTGTCACTTGAGTTCTGACTCCTGTACTGAGGGTCTTTGCAAGCAAATTCTGGTGCTTCTTGAAACAGTTGTCTGGGGAGAAGAGAAAATGCAGTTGGTCGCTGGCTACACCAAGGGCAGCCATTCTTTTCCACCCACTGTTGTGGGAAGGACTCTGCGATACAGTTAAGACAGTTAACAATCCCTAAAACAGGCTCTGCCTACCGGCTGGTGTCCACAAAAAACATAAGTTGGGCAGGAGGCATGAGAACCCCTCAGAGCATTCTAGACAGGTGGCCAGAGGAGGTCATTGGGAAGCGAGGACATGTAGCAGAGGTTAAGAAAATCTAGAACATTCTAGGGGTGGGGCAATGTGGTTAGCAGGAGCCAGGGCTGCAGAAAGTGGGTCTTGCAGGGGTTGAGCAGCCTTTGGTGAGTGCTCAGGGCCCAGCTGATGTGACAGACTATAGGTGGACAGATAACAGCTGGAGGCCTCCCTATTGTAGCCAGGTCTAGATGACAGGTTAGATCGGTAGACCTTTTTGATGGACTGAAGGTAGACGAATGGAATAGGGAATAAGGGAAATCCAGAGGCTGAGATGGTGGAAGGCAGCTGCTTAGGATCAGACACCTAACTGTGGAGTCCTAGGAGAATGGATAGGTGTCCCGCAGAGCCTGTGAAAGCTGGAAGATTTTTCTAGGCCTAGGGGAGACCTGGCCAGCACTCAACACCACCCTGCTGTGGGACGCACACCTTGTACGTTTTCCTAGGTTTGCCATGTCAAGGGTTTATGGGTTTACTTCAAATCTGTAAAAGAATTCGTCTCTTAGAACAAATATGGTGGGCTCTGACCCAATCTGTCCTTAATATGACAATGAGGAAACAGACCCTGAGAGAGGAGGGTGGGCTTGGGTCTCTGTGCCGTCAAGGCCCTGCAGACCAGTCCTTAGTCTCTGGACTCATAGGCCTTCAGCGGGAGGCCCCCAGAGCAGGGCCTCAACTCCTACGGCTCTTCTGCCTTCTCTGGCTTCCTGGCTTTCAGGGACTGATGTTCTCAGGTGTGGCATCCAGCTCCTGACAGTTGGCATGGTATGGAAGAATCTAGACACACCCATCCCTGTGGTCCTCCTGAACTCCCCTTTCTCGCTTGATGCCTGCCTGTCCTGGGTCACAATCTGTGTAGAAAACTTAAGGCGTCACCAGGCACTGACATTCTAACACAGGCAGAGTGTAGACATCACAAATGAAGAAACCATTGAGCGTCCCTGCTAGAAGTACAAGGGACACATAGTGTCAGGGACAAGTCACTCTCCACACTCCACCATCCCACAACTAGTCTGCAGAGGGAGTAAGAGCTGGCCCCCAGGGTCCATGGTGACAGCAGTTTCTTCCCTCCGGCCCTCCCCCAGGCTCCACCTGTCATGGCAGTGACTCACCCCTTGGTTCATGTCACTAGACAGTGACAAATGAGCTGAACTGGCAGGCAGTCATGAAGAAGGGACAGAGGAGGGTTGGAGAAGCGAGGAGCCTGGAAAGACTCGGAGTTGGGATCCCCAGCAAGGACTGGAAGGGATGGGTAACCCTGCACTCTCCAGAAGTGGGCGACCCTGTAGCTTCTCCAGGGACTTTGGCAACAGAAGACATTGGCTGGGGTGGGAGGGGGTGGTGGTAGATGGAAAAGATACTGGTGTATGGAGGTGGCTTCCTGGCTACTGCAGGAGTTTAGGAGAATCCTGTGCCCAGAAAAAAAAAAAAAACCCAAGCATAGGGAGGGGATTTAGAAGAAGCCCTGAAATTCTTATGTGCCCCTCTTATCAAGCCTTCATTAGTGAAGGAATAGGTGGCTGTGAGGCATCTTGTTCCCAGTTAGTGGGTGACTTAGTTAGGGTTTCTGTCGCCATGACCAAAAGCAACTCGGGGAGGAAAGGGTTTATTTCATCTTACACGCATGCATCACAGTCCATCATTAATTAATTAATTAATTAATTAATTAAATTTATTATCGGGTCAGGAACTTGCTTGCCCCTTGTGGTGGCTCTCAGTCAACCTCATGGTACCCAGCACTGCCCACAGAGAGCTGGATCCTCATACATCCATCATCGATTAAGAAAATGTAGCACAGGCCAGTCTGGTGGCTGCATTTTCTCCACTGAGGTTCCTCTTGGAAAATGACTCTAACTTGTGTCAAGCTGACATAAAATTAGCCAGCACTGTGGGTGAGCACAGATCCAACAACTGATTCCAGAGCTTCCTGTCAAGGCGCAT